TTAAAATTGAACGAATAGTTGAAATAAGGCTGTAAATTCCATAGAAACTTTGTTGAGTGACACATAAAAAATTTGGAATCTATACAAAAATTGCTGCAAAATGATGAATTTCAAAAATAATCTGCATTCACTGATCACATTCCGTACATGAAGATAACGTGTGAGGTATGCTGTAATTACTATTTGGTCAAGCTTATCGACAAGATTCAAATCAGTTTCCCCAGTGACTGAACTTGCCTAGAGGAAAGATACTAATCATAAACGCTTGATAATTTTTATATATATATTAACGCATTATCTCTGTATGCAAGAAATGTACAGAGACAAAAAGCCAATGTATCGGCAATGTACAACTAAATGGCGAGCATTTTACTTGAATACTAGAAGAGACTAGCATTTTTAATTGATTTTCAGAAATATTAGAGAAAAATGATAATTGGAAAATTTGTATCTACAAATTAGACAATAATAGCTAAATTAAAATCAGTGTCTACCCCCTAGGAGCTTACAATATATCATATACTTTCAAATTTATAGAAATTGCCGCGTAATTGTTTGTTTACCCGTGTGGAAAACCAATGACTAACTGACTGTAACTGAAATCAACTGATAAGCGACTTTAGGTAACTGAGCAGATGGTTCGTATGAAAAATATTCGACTACGATTAAATTTCAGCCATTCGCTTAATTTGCCACGTATTTGACTGCGGTCAACTTGTGATTGCAGTAACACTACATGTGCAACGGATTCATATTACTGTGATCATTGCTTTTGTACTGAATAATCACTTTAAGCCAGTCGACTATGTCCCAAGATAATCGATTGGTTGCTCAGTCAAAATATTTTCACATGGGTAATTGAGCATTCAGTGGGATAAGGAAACCAACAAAAACACTTTTTTGTTTTGATCACTTTTTTTTAATTGTATATTTATTGTGTTCCTTTTTAATTCATAACATTACGAATATGATTAATAGCTGTACGCCAAGCACCTATCAATGACAAAATAACTGTAATGATGGCCAATATTTGAAGCCCCAGTCGGATTTCATCGCTTGAGTTCTTTTTCATGTAACCTTTGTCGTAGCCGATGAAAAGAGCAATCATTCCTATGGAAGGAAAAGCAGTTATCAGTACCAAAAATAAAGTGAATGACAGTAGTATTCAAACAAAAGTTTCCCAATTCTGAACAATAATAATCTATTCACTATGATATTTAAAGAAATGATAAAATCAAGCTACCCAAAATGAAAGCAGTGGTTCCAGTTAAATTGTGTGCCAATTTGAAATAAACTGGTCGAGCGTATTTTTTTAGTTTAATCGACCATAGTGCTGAAATGCCATTGAACATGCCAATCATTGTAAAAATAGCTGCGATCAATCCAATGACCGAATGAGTGGAGGAAAAATGTGGTTTTGGTTTCTTAGTTTCCCTCTCAATTAGTTCTCTGCCAATGTATTCGATGAAAATTCCAAGAATAGCAACCGAGGAACCAACAGCCTGCAACACCCAATGAATGGTCTTTTTCGATTGTCTAGTGCACTGCTTCGACCACACATTTTCCGAATAAAATACCAAAATCGCTTGTGTCATCAACAATTGGTACTACATTTGTTTCAAATACACAAAATAATTTGTTATGTCCGAAATAATTCATTCAGTTTATAGTAATTCTTCGAAGAAAAAAAAATTGGATAAAATTCACCAGACTTCGCTATTCTTGCCCAGTAAAGTCAAAATATTTCGGATTTTTAGATATAAACTACTTACTCCGATCGTGCAGAGCCATACATGCCAGGTAACTGCTTTGTTTCCAGCATTGGTACACATGACACTCATGTAAATGGCCACAATACAAGCCATAATATGATTTAATACATTAAAACAAGTTTGAACCACTTGCCACGCGTTTCGGGTTGGTCTATTTTCAACTTCATTCGACTCAATTTCCATTTGAATTTTCATTCTGGACTTTTTAATTCAGATACTTTTTGATTTGTTTCAGATAAATTGTTTTCAATCAAATTGTAATTCACACAAACGAACGACTCGACCACGAACTGATCTTGATTAAAACTGAGATGCACTCGCTTAAACACATTCCGTATAGAAATGCAGCGCTCAGAGCGATGCGTTTGCGAGCTCAGTATATAGTCGCAGAGTGTATGTACTCAGTAAACCGTTTCCTGTGCGCATGACACTGCCCATTAATGCAGACGCAATCGTCTTATGAGTCGCAATGTCATGCGTATTCAAACTCTTAACACAAATTTCGTCAAAAACAAACTAAATATAAATCAGCTTACATGTCAAACATGAAGATTTTATTACATATCAAATTTCACTGAATTATAACCGCGTCGTTGCATTATAATTGTTTCTCAGCATTTCAAGCCGACAATAGTTTCCGATAGTAAAACTGCTGTGAATTGATGCATTTGATAAACGGAATTCATTGAAAATTGATTGTTTTGATTGTTAAACACATTTCGTATAGAAATTCAGCGCTCAGAGCGATGCGTTTGCGAGCTCAGCTTATCAATAAAGTTCAAATCAGTTTACCCAGTGGCTGAAATTGCAATATATAATCTATTGGTGATTAAAATTGTCACATAATTAATTATTATTTAACATCATTGTTTGTATATTTGAATAAAAAATGTTTACGTATTAGTATGTCAATAAAAATAATTACATACATTCTAGATTGATTTGAAAGAAAAAAAAGTCTAATCATGATTGAACCTAAATGCTACTAAATTCAATACAGTTTGGTGTTTAAGAGTAAATATCGGGGAGATCAGTTGAAGAAGACAGCGCGAGTGAATTTGAGTGTTGATCGTAGAGCACCGATCAATGACAAAATGATCGTAATGATCGCCAACGCTTGCAGCCACATTCGAATGTCTTCACGTGAATTTTTCTCCATAAACCCTTTGTCATAGCCGAAATAAAGCGCAACCATTCCTAAAAAAAGTGTTTTTAATTTAACATTTTAGCAAAACGATTTCAAAAGTATTCTCTTCAATGAAAAGGAAAAAATGAAATCTTTTTTATATCAACTGATTTGCAGTAAGAATTGATTACCTAATACAAAAGCGGCGATTCCATTCAAATTATGTGCGAATTTCAGATAAACTGGCTTCACATACGTTCGAAGCTCAGCTGCCCAAAGTGCTGAGACTCCATTCAACATGCCAAGTATCGTGAGTATAAACGCTGTCAAGCCAATAATCGAGTGAGTGCTGATGAAATGATTCTTTGAGTCTTGCCATCTGTTGATAAATTCAACAATCATTCCTGCAATCGCAGCTGATGATCCCAAGCCTTGCAATATCCAATGAAGTGTCTTATGCGTTTTTCTCGTATGTTGCTTCGACCAAGCATTTTCCGAATAAAACACCAAAATTGATTGGGTCATCAACAATTGGTACTAGAATTTGAAAAAAAAAAAAAATGGGAATTAAACGACTTTCAAGGAGAATATTTTCGATTGCAACACTCACCCCAATTGAACACAGCCAAACATGCCATGTAATAAGCCTATTTCCGACGTTATAGCAGAAAAATGTCATATAAACCGCTACAATTGAAATCATGCAATGATTTAGCACATTGAAGTAGGTTTGTATCTTCTGCCAAACACTTTGTATTGCCATTTTGTTGGGTGGTTTCGATTCTAAATCTGTAGAATTTTTCATTATGATTATTTTGTTCAACTGTCAATAAAACTAATGCGGAGATAACTAATATCTCAATTCACATCAAAATCGTCAACAAAAATTCCGAAAACTTCACGTGAGTTTTTATTTTCTTCACAATTGATTATAGTTTGCTCTATGAGTGAAACAAATAAAGTGAATAAAATTTATATACTTCGAGAATTGTGCGACCGTTTGACTCGACGTCGTGAAACTGATTCAATATTCATGTGTCTGACGTCTGGGGAAGTACGGCTCGAAAACAAATTGTGTAATAACTTTGCAACAATAAAAAATGCTTTAAAAAAATTCCAAGAAAAAATGGATTGAAACAAATTGTCTATAGATAAGTGTGTGTAATACATATATAGATATAAACACATTGGATATGCAATACTTGGAGAGTATCAGACGATTTCGTGACGATATGAAACAAGCTTATCGACTACAATGAAACTTTTTTTCCAGAAATTTTGAATGTAAAGTGTTGAACTTACTGTGCGTGGATTTGTTTTTGTTAATATTCTATCTTCTATTTTATATGTTTCTGTAGAAGCGTGTTGAAGCGTGCAAATACTACACAAGTATGAATTGTGTTATCATTTGCGCTATTCGTTTCGCAGAAAAGTCGCATGCTACTGATCGCGACCTACGAGTTTATTTGCAAACTGGTTTTCGTTTTCGCGCTCATTTGTTTTGACATAATATATATACGTAGACTACTTCAATACATTGTCACATCGATTGTAAATCATTCACGCCCGACTATCTATCGTATCGTTGCAATAGTCACGTACATTTTATCAGTCATTGATTGGGCGCACCGTATCGTTCCCCTTGATTACGCCTTGAATCAGCTGAGTTGGAGAAGGTACATATGTACTGTACACAAATCCAATTGTGATGACAATTACGAATGAAACGAAATTCCCCACAGATAGATTATTCTGTTTGTTGAACACGTTTCGTTCCGAAAATAAAAATTCAAAGCCCAAAGAGACGCTGTGATTAACCAAGCTTATCGTAAAATCCAAATGAGTTTTCCACTGATTAAATTTTTAATATATTGACATTTTACAATTAAATAAACTCAATCAAATGATCTAAATCATCTGTAGTATGAATTGTCACTTTGTTTGGAGTTCAACTGAAGACAGCACGAGTGGATTTGACTGTTGAGCGTAGTGCACCGAACAACGTCAAAAGGATTGTAATGATACATGCGGCTTGCAACCACATTCGAATGTCTTCACGTGAATTTTCCTTCATGAGCCCTTGATCATAGCCAAAATAAAGCGTAACCATTCCTACAAAAGTATTTTAGGTTTACATTTTCACAAAATAATCACAGAAGTTTTCACTTCAATCAACAATTGAATTTCTTTTTTATTTTCGACTTGATTCACAGTAAGAATTGGTTACCTAGTACAAAAGCGGCGATTCCAGTTAAATGGTGTGCTAGTTTCGAATACTTTGGCTTTGGATACGTTCTCAGTTCAGCTGACCAAAGTGTTGAGACTCCATTGAAAACACCGCGTAACGTAAGGATAAAGGCTGTCAAGCCAAGGATTCCATGAGTGCGCACAAAATGATTTCTTGAGTTTTGCTACTTGTTAATAAATTCAATGGTCATTCCTGCAGCTGACGATCCCAAACCTTGCAATATCCAATAAAGTGTTTTATGTGTTTGTCTAGTCTCTTGTTTTGACCAGACATTTTCCGAGAAAAGTGCTAAGATCGCTTGTACCAACAAGAGTTTGTACTAGTTATTGAAAGAAAATAAGAACGACCTAACTTTTAGAAAAAACCACTTGAAGCCGATCAGAATTCGAAAAAAGACAACAGATCGAACGTCTTATAATGTTACCTAGAATTGAGAAAAGTTCAACACTTACACCAGTTGAACACAACCAAACGTGCCAGGAAATTAACGGATTGCCGACACCATAGCAGGAAAACGTCATATAAACCGCCACAATTGAAACAATGCAATGATTCAGTATATTGAAGTAGGTTTGTATCCTTTACCAAGCACTTAAAGTTGGCATTTTGTTGGTTTTTTTTCGATTCTAAATTTGCGTTATAGATCCATCTTATTACTTTGCAAATCATTTAATAAATGAAACTATTATCGAACCAGCTGTGTTAAATAGCCCAATTTTATTCAAAATCGTGAGCAAAAATATCGCTCAAACTTTACTTCATAAATGCTAGGAAAAAATGAGTAAAATGCAAAAATGTATGAAATAACTAGAATGTTATAACGTTTACGTTTCAATTCGAATCATTCTTCTTTATTCTATTATTTCTTGGCAGGTTTTCAACACGATGCATTTTGGAAATATGAATGGCAAAAGCATGGTACATGCGCGCACACTCATGACTCACCAAATACTGAAGTGAAATATTCTAGTCAGGCCTTAGATTGGTCACAGCGATATTCAATAAGTGAACTTATTTCGAATTCGAATATCCACCCGGGAGCACGATACAACTTCACGAACATTCATAACGCTTTTAAAAGTGCTCTTAATCAGTCAATGCTGCGATTAGCTGTGCCAGCGAGAAAAACCATCCGAGTGAACACCAATATTTGCATGAACTTGAAATATGCTTCAGCTTAACGTTCGAACAAGTCGATTGTCACAATTATCTAACGAGAAATTCATCGCATTTGGGAATTTATAATACGGATTGCTGCTTAGGTCAATCGATTTTTTAACCAAGGGATTTGCCGAAACATCTAAATAGTAAACCATCAAAATCAATTTGGCGCATCATTTGAGAGAATCTGTCGAAAAGTGCAATTTGGTTTAGATTTTGAATTTTGCCAAATACTGGGAGAACGTTTTCAGCTAGTTCAAAATAAAAACAATGTTGAAATGTGTACGGCAATAAAGGAATGTTATTGTAAAATGAAAGGAAATATGCTGGGGGTTTCACGCAAACTCGAAGGCCGAAGATTTTACTAAATAGCTGGAAATATAACCATTTTATGTGTAAATTATAGATATTGCTTCTTTTTATTCATAAACTCGAATTTTTTAGAATTTTTTGAATCTAAAAATTCTGGAAGTGGGTTTTGGTGGATCCTCAGGATTGTTTAAAACCGCTCCTGGTTCTGGAAGTTGAACCTCAGGATGGACCAGGGCATTGTCAAACCCAGTCTGATCCATCCTGAAGATCCACCAAAACCCACTTCCAGAACCGGGAGCAGTTTTGAACGATCCTGAGGATCCACCAAAACCCACTTCCAGAACATAATTTTCAAGGTGAATGTTGAAATATTTCGAAATAATACGGATTTTGGTGAATCCCAGAGAATTTTAGAGAAAAGAGAGATATATTGAAATTTTAGATGAATTTTAAGTTGCGTGAAACCCCTAGGAAATATGTTTCTTTATTTTTATTTTCTTCCTATTGAATCTGCGACTACATAAGGCATAACTCACAGAATAAGTTTCTCGGGTGCAACAGAACTCATATGCTGCCACTGTGGTAGTACTTAATATTTCGCTCTATTTTTTATTTATTTTTCTATTTTTCCTTTTTCTTGTTTCTCTCATTTTCTATTGTTCTAGTTCTTTTTTGCATGCGCATAAATAGGTGTTTTCAAGGAAGAAATAGAACTTCCGAAAAAGGTCCGAGGAATAGCAACCTTTTCTAATGTCCATAAGCAGCAGGTAAAATATTTGAAGAAAAAATTACATTTACGATTTACAGGATAAGTAAGGCACTGAATTTGTTTGAGTAAACAAGAGAGGTGAGTTGTAGTTTAGTCCTCAGTTGTGTCACTGCAGTGAACGAAGACAGATATTACAGATTAGAAAGTTCAGAGATTGAACCAAAAATAAAATAGGTGCCAAAATTAAAAATGGAGATATATAAGACAAAATCATCGCTGATTTGTATAATAATATCGGTGTTGGCAGTGGTTTCAATACTATCAGCTTTATGGTTAAGGTCGTTGGCTGAGGAACGTCCAGCCAAACCATATTATCCAAAACTGGAATTTGCAATTTCAATGTTGAATCTCTTACAAAAGAACAAGCCGAATGAAAATGTTTTTTATTCACCCAAAAGTGTATACCAAGCTCTGTTATTAACTTATTTTGGTGCTGGTGGTAAGACAGAGAAAGAGCTCGAAAATGTATTAGGATTGATGAAATGGGCCAAAAACAAAACGGACATTGAAAATGCATATAAATTGGAGAAAGACGCACAGGCCAAACCATACCAAAATGCATCCGTTGAATTCATTTCAGTTGATAAATTATACTTTTCGGACAGAGTCAACATCAAGTAAGTCACACAATTTATCTCATTTTCTTCACCACAATTGAAAGTGGAAAAAAGATTGTCGCAGAATTAAAATCAACCGTGATTTGTGTTTAACAAAATTATTCAAATGGAATTCCATTACTCGCGTTGACGGGTTTTCTTCTTACAATTTTAAGAACCATTTTTTTACTTGCAGAGATTCGGCGAAAAATCTACTGAACGAAAACATTGAGCGACTCAATTTCTTTACTGAACCAGCTCAATCAGTTGATCACATTAACCAATTTGTTGAGAATATCACAAAGAATAATATCAAAGATATTCTTCAATTGGATGCAGATACAATGAACATACAGGTTGCTATCATCAATGCTGTGTATTTCAAAGGAGATTGGGTATGTGATTCAAAGTGTTCTTTGTATGAGAAAAAGTGAATTTTAATTGGGATGCGTTAATTTTTAGGTGTCAGAATTCAAAAAATCAAACACTTATAGAGCAAAATTCTATAAGCATGGTGTAGAAGAGACTTATGTGGATATGATGCATCGATTGGGGCACTTTAAATATGGTAAACATACAATTCAAATGTAAAATTGGTGTTCAATCAATAAAAATAATAATTGCATTTACTTTACTTCAGGCTTTATCGAACATTTGGACACAGCAGTCTTGAGAATGCCATACAAAGGTGAAAATTTTTCAATGTACATCTTCTTGCCAGATAACAGCAGAACAGCGATTGATGAGCTGTTGGAAGAGTTAACCCCGACCATTTTGGACGATGTGTTCAATGGTACTGTTGAAACTTGGGAAACTAGGGTTTCCGTTTCATTTCCAAAGTTTTCGTTTGAACAAACATCTAAACTGGAACAGGTATCTTAAAAAAGACAATTCTACTGATTTTCATTGAATTTTTCCCATGGTTTAGTGACCATCTACTTTGTTTTCATCGCATTTTGATTTCAATAGGCAGTGCAACGTATGGGCATTCAAAGTTTTTCTGACAAAACTGCAAATTTCAGTGGCTTCTTTGAATCTACACTATCGGAGGGGTATGAAGTAAAAATGTTTCACAAGGCTAAAATTGAAGTTGATGAATCAGGTTCAACAGCTGCTGCAGCTACCGCTATGATTTCTTATCCATGCAGCATGGCCTATCGTCCACTTACTCCTGTCGAATTTAATTGTGATCACCCATTTTTATTCGTTATTCATGATGAACAATTTGACGAAATTTTATTTGCTGGCATTTATCGTGGACCAAACTAACGTTAAAATTAAAAGACAATTGCCTTTCACAATTCGGAAAAAATGCTGCTTTGTGTAAAATATGTATGCTTTGAATTGAACACTGTTGATTACGAAGATAAAAACGGATTCATTCGTGAATCTTGTATATTTTGATTGTAATTGACTTTCATATATTTACGTCACCGCTTGTGATGAAAGGCCAAAAATAAATACCAACGATAAAGAAGAATTTCAATTTTTGCAATTTTCAAAATCAATTAAAAATAGACTTTAATTAAACCTAGATTAAGCCTTGGTAGATTTTTCTTTCATGATGTGTTTGATGTAACTGCTGTTAATAATTCAAAACATAATAGGTAGCATACATTGTATGGAGCTCAATAGAGAATGTTTCCGTTGACAGCAATGCGGCGCTGAATTGTACTGATTACTTTGAATCGGCTTTATTCCAATTTATTTCATTGTTTCATTTCAAGATCAATGACTGAAGGACAATGACATCAATTTCTCTCGGAGAATACGAAATTTCAAGCAAAACCTTTTATCATATCCAATTTTTATGTCATCATTTCCACATACAAACTATTCATGCTGAATATCCATCGATTATTATACTTTGGTCATAAATTTCCATACATTGTAATATTTAGTGAGTGAGACGCACGCGGATGAGGAGAAACAAAGCGAAAGAGAAGCGGGCAACTCCATACAAACGAACGATATAGCGCGGATACATTTCGTCACTCCGTCGTTAGAATACGGACACAAACACGTAGTACCCATTGACTCTATGTTCTAGTTGTGCGCTTTCCTTTCGCTTTGTTTCATCTCATCCGCGTGCGTCTCACGCACTAGATGAGTTTGGATATTTTTTTAGTGGCACTCACCGAATTTTACAATGTATGGAAATTTCAAAGTGAACAGTCGAAATTTTTTTTGTGAAAATCCATAAATTAATTAATTTATTCGAACTCGTGCAAAGATACAATTTTTGACCTTTTCAAATATTAAATTACAAATGTTGCTCTAGTTTGTCCATAGAATGCTATGAATGGGCCAATCAGCGAGAGAATCGTTGTGAAAATCACCGAACCCTTCAGCCATGGTAAGGAATCGATTTTAGTATCTGGTAGTTCGCGGTCAGCCCTGAAGTAACGGTATTTCAGCCATAGAACAGGCTCATCATTCCTGTAAATTGGAAAAATACACAAATACAATACACGTTAATCAAATCCATGTTGCCCAGCAACGCTTTATGTAACAACACAATTTTGTCAATGAAACGTCAATGCAACTTTTAAATGAACTATTTGAAATAAACAACAGAAGTGAAGGAAACGCATTTAAAGTGAAGTAAAAAGACAAATTTGAAAAATAAAATTATTGCAATGAGTGAAAAAAATACAATTGAAGATTTGCCAGAGTTTTCTTTTTCTGAATGTGAAAATGAAGTGGTGGAATTCGAATCGACTTGGAGCTTAGAAAGGTTAATCAATTTTGGTTCAAAATTTTCGAATTTCACTTTTTGAAACAAAATCCAAAGAGAATGGTTTTTGACAAATTGTGTGGTCATCATTTGAAATTACAATATTCTCACAATTTTGTTCATTCACAGAGTGTATGACAAAGCGATACCGATTCCAACTCAAACCGATCCGATCAATAAAACCGAGCACAAATCAACCAATACGCAAGAATGCAAGCATAATTCGGTAAGCACACGTTTCGATATTTTTAAATGAACTCGACTTTGATTTTATCTTCAATTTGAGCTTAACATTGACATTTATCTCCAAAATTTCCCCCGCAAGACTCAAACAGAGGCATTACCAAGCAAGGCTCCGGTTGCAGTGAATGAAAAGGAATTAATTGAATCGATTCGCGTGTTATCAGCTGTTATGGAAGCTGAAGTCAAACTCGGAACGACGAATATTTTCAAATTTCAATCAAATTAACTACGTATGCGAAATCTCACCTAAGACAAATGATGCAATGCCAATGAATTTGTGGAACATTTTCGAGACTACGGGTCGGATGCGGTATTTTTTATAAACTTTTTGCGTATTAATTGCTGCGATTCCATTAATACAGCCAACGACAGCGAATATCAGCGAAATGAGACCGGTGATGGAGTGAGTAGTTTGGAAGTGAAATTGTCGTGTTGAATAAAAAACGGTGGTGCCGACAATTGCCATCAAGGAACCAATCACCTGGATGAGCCAATGCAATGTACGCTTTGTTTTTGGTGCATAGAAGAATGACCAGCAATTGCTTGAGTACAGCGTCAAAATCGCTTCGGCCATCATGAGTTGATACTAAATCAAACGAAAATTTAGATTTTTTCAATGATTTTTTGGGTTCAATTGATTTTATAATCACACTTACACCAAGTGTACAGAGCCAAACGTGCATATCGTACTGTACAATGAATTTGTCCGATAGATTCATCAGAAAGCAGTGCCATGTCACGTATATAGTCACAACAACTATGCAAATATGGTTCAATATATTGAACAGAAATTGAAACGCTCGTATTGCTTTCTCCATTATTGATCGAATTAGTCCACCAAGTATCAACTACAAAAATAAATAAACTAAGTTACTAAACTTACTATACAAAATATTGAGATTGTCCAAGATCCATTCGCTTGGATATGATACAAGCAATAATGTGCGGCAAAAATTGAAAGTTCCCCAAGAGAAGGTGATTTTGCGAGTAGAAAAAAATGCAAACAAGTTCTTTAGAGTGATTAATCTTATCGACTGTCATTGACGTGTTACATTTCAAATGAATAAGAAGCGACATAAATAACGTATTCAAAACGAAATAAATCTTATTTATGGTGATGTTGTTGATAAGAAGACGTTCATATATATAATTTTTTACACATCATTTGTTGAACACGTACAAAACATTTCACTGGTCATAACTTTTACAAAGTTGATTTGACAAAAACAAATTAATCTTTTACATTTAGTATATATATAGGGTATCTATGTTAAACATAGAAGAGGATAAAACAATTTGTGCTTATAAATTAAGAGGTAAGTAGTGAGACAACGTGATTTTCGATAACGGCTTGAGCTAGGCTCGCATTGTTCTGTACAGCTAGGCTGTAGGCGGTGTCATCGTATTCGTTGGTTAGGAATAGATTTGGTTTGTAGTTAAGCAGTTCATGGCACGTGTGTGGATGATTTCCGGCAGCAGCGAACATGAGGGCAGTGTTACCAATCTGAACAAAAAAAAAATGACAATTCAATTGAAATTGGCATAAAATTTAAGAATTTTGCGACTTTTTTTCCACTTACAATATCCGTATGATCCGGATTGGCTCCATTTTGCAATAGTAACTTGACAATTTCATGATGACCACCTGCAGCTGCCAATAGTAAAGGTGTCACATGATCTGGTGCTAATTTCGAGACATTTGCTCCGCAATTTATGAGAATTTTCACGGAGCTCATCTGGCCATAGAAGCAGGCCCAATGCAACGGCGTCAACTGGTTTTTATCCGTTTCATCGATGTTCGGCTGTTGTCGTGCTTGCAGCTCGGTAATTTCACCTTGCCCAGCTCGTTCATGGAAACCCAATGATACCTCTTGTTGTATGCTGGCTTCCGTGTTGCCACGCTGTAAGTTGGTCAAAACCGTTGCGGTCGGTTTGTACAATGAAAATGCACTTTTTCGCTTTCCATTCGATGCCAGACTGTTTGACAGTGGATTATTACTTCCCATTTGGATCGGCATATTTAACTCTGAAGAACCTCTGCAATGAGCCAGAACCAGAATAGAATGCGAACGTGTTATTTTTTCCAAAATAAATTCTAAAGGTGAACAGGAAGTATATACTCACTGATTCGAATTTATTATTGATTTTTCTCTTTTCGAGTTTTCGCTCATATTTTTCACACCCAATGCTTAAAAACTAATATTGGTCGATGGGTAAAAAAAAATCGATTTTAAATCCGATTTCTCGGATTCACAGCCTTTTCTGGAGGAGATTTTTTTTTCTATTCGAGTAAATAAATATGACGCAGAAAAAAAAAACTCTAGCTACGCTGCCTGTCAAGAGGCATGTGTCGTTGTTCACAATGCAAACGCTCTGTGACTTTGACACATGTCAAACGCAATGGGCTTCCATTGTGAATGGGTTTGCTGTCATATGTGACATTTCTGCTGTCATCTTTGCACGTGTATGTTTTGTGTGTATCAATCGCACAATTATCACGTTTTGTTGAAATTTCTATCGGTTTTCTGTAGTTTTCGTTGAATTAAAAATGTCGAAAAAGAAGCAAAAGCCAATTTTGTCGGATAAAATTGCCGAGTTGATTGCACCACGGCGTTTATTGGACCCAGAAGTCGATTCTGAAGACGAAACAGTGGCCCGTGCTATTGACTATGATATTGATGGGGAGTTTGATACAAACGAGCCAGCGTCAAATCTCAGTGATATTCGGAAGAAAAATGTGAAATTGTTGCAAGATGTCGATGCAAAATATCGTGGCAAAGTGTCTTCACGAAAAGATTTGGACATGGATTCGAGTGAGATCGACGAGGAAGACGACGACGATTTCGTTATAGAAGAAGAAGAAGAAGAAGAAGAAATCGAATCAACAGAAAAATCTGTTGGCGAATTTTCCATGCTATTAACGCCGCGACAACGAATCAAAGTGGCACAAGAAGCCGGAGAAAATGAAGAGGAAAATGGAATCGAAAGTGCTGACTCATCCGAAGATGGAGATGACTTGAAAGCATTCACAGCAAAGCTGGGCAACTCAAAAGGTCAATAATTTACAACTTGTTGAACATTCATTGCCACACTAAATCCAAATTGAAAATCAATTTTATACATTTTTCAATCAATTTTCCTCCACAGGCAACTCAAAGTCAGCGACCATCAAAGCAGACAGTGATAGCGACGAGGATTTGGGTGCAAATGAAAGAGATGAATTGGAAAAATGGGACGATGATTATGAAGGCGAAGAGATTGAAGAAGAGGAAAGTGAAAATGAAGTGGCCGAGGGAAGCGATGAAGACGGCGACGTCAACGAAGAGGGTGAATTTGATAGTGATGAAGAGGCGAGTGACTTTGATGGTGGCGATATTATTCCACGTAAATCAGAAGAATCGGCTGAACCTGAGAAATCCGAAAAGCAAGATGTAAGTCGATTTTTACCAAAACAACGTACCGAAGACCATTTGAGCAAAGGATTCTGTGTACAAAATCAATTGCAAATCTGGGAAAAATTGCTCGAAGTTCGAATTCACTCACACAAAATGTTGATCAAAGCCAATAGCTTACCGCAACCGACAACATTCGAAAAATTGTCCACAAACACAGAGTTTTCCGAATTGGCCAACGACACGGTGGATCAAGTGTCAAAGCTGGTATCGCAAATGCGAAACCTTCAATCGCTTCTATTGAATCAGTACTCAGAAACGAAACAAATAGCTGCCAAACGAAAGCCAGTCAAACTCGATGATTTGGATGATCCAGAGACAAAGCGAAGCCGGCTGGCCAACGAATTGGAAAAGGATTATTCGAATTTCAAAGAGTATCAATATTCCGTGATATCAAAATGGCATGATCGAACCAAAGTGCTCACTCCTGGTAGCGTAAAAACACAGAAACAACAAGGGAACATCGATGTACTGCGGAAAATCGAAGGTGTTTTGGCCAATCGCGAAGAATTAATTAAAAAAACACAACTTCTCAAAGGTGGCTATGAATTATTTGACCAAAGCACTGGCATTGTTGAATCAAAACAAATCGGAGCTGGAGCCGGTGAAGCTGAAAATGGTGTGGAAAATGAAAACAATGAAGATAATCACACATATTCGACGGAAGTTTATGATGACACTGATTTTTACCATACCCAATTACGTGAACTAATCGAACACAAAACATCGTCATCCAGCAATGCCAATGAAATGGCCAAACAATTCGCCGAATTGCAGAAGCTACGAAAGAAAATGAAGAAAACCGTCGACACTCGAGCATCGAAAGGTCGAAAAATTCGATTTGTTGTCCATAATAAGTTAGTGAGTTTCATGGCACCAAACGAATCGGGCAGTTGGAACGAGGAACAAAAAGACGAACTGTTCAAATCATTATTTGGAGCGCAGTCATAATTTCTACAGCATTTATTCCCCTTTCAAATTTTATTATTTTATGTGAAATTTTTAAAATGAAACAATTTTTTATAATAAAAATTGCGAAATCAAAATTCTGTAAATAAACATATTTTTGTTTATAGAGGAGAAAATAGCCAACTCCTGAAATAAATGCCATCATTTAGAGTTTTAAAGAATTGAAACAGAAATTAGGCATTTTTAACACTTATGCTTTGCTTGTGTCAAATTGATACAACATCACACTTATGTGAATGCAAATCTTGTATTGGAATAAAAACATTCATTCGAATTTACAGCATGACAACGTTGATTTTACTTTCTTGCATCATCTTTTTGGGTTTTTAGCATTGGGCAATTAAAATTACACCCATTTTTTTTTTTGAGAAAAGTCAAATGAACGGTAGGTTGTTTATGAAGGGTGGTTTACTGTTGTTGAGCAGAGATGATAGGTCAAGATATCAATCTATCTGGTATGGAGGAAAATCTATCCGGTGTGGAGCAATAGATTCACTTTTGGAAGAGAATTACTGCAGTATTTTCTCCGAATTTCCGAAGCATATGATGATTTTCTTGCAAGCTTGTAACACCGTGAATGCCCTTGTCCTTGTTTCGAATCTATGAAAATGAACTTCCCCGGTTGCTTCTTTCCATTGTAGGTGGCCATTGTCTGGTTCAGTCGCATATTGGGATTACGAATCTTTTCGTGTGTGTTCTTGACAAAGTCAGGGTTCTTCGATGCTTTCTATTCGTTTTCAAACGAACACCTCTCCGTAATAATGAGCATGTATCCTTCCATTGCTTAATTGTTCTCCATCATGGATACTCCATGATTGTTGGTTGTACCATGGACCATCAATAGCATCAATAAGATCTCTCATTACATCTCCAATGCCAGGCTGAAATGTAATTTTCCCTTTATGTTCAATTTCACGCACAAAAAGGGTTAAAATTCTATTTCAAACTTGAAAAAAAAAAATGAACGCAATGTATTTATTCAAAACACCTCATTTATTAAAATTGCTTGTAAAAATGTGTTTGCGGATTTAGCAGCAAATTTTGATTTGGCGGTAATAATTTAACGTAAGATTCCCTCGATTACAATAAAAATGGGTATTTTTCGGGGTTCATTTATGTTCCTTCTCTATTTGGTTATTAAACGTATCATTTTCAAATCGAATCCATCTCCATTCAATTTGACGATGGTTACAAAAATCATTTAGAAAAAACCGTTTTAAATTCTATCACCGTCTCTTGACACGGTGCATTGAAATGATTCCTATTGCTAGTTTCAACGTCATTGTTCTGCCTCTGGGCATTAAGACACTTTGCAATAAAAAAAAAAAATCAACATCAAATCAACGATAACAATGTTAAATGGTAATCATTAACATTTCTCCTATTCAAAATTCTCTCTCTACATGTTAATCGTTAAGCTCTATTTAAAAAAAAACCATCACATAATTTTTTCAATTAAAATTTGCATCGTAATCGTACTTAGTTGAAAATATTGCAAAACCACCTACTAAATGGATTGCTATGAAAATTTCTTCTTCGATTGCTACGGAAAGCTTACTTCTACGGTTTTGTTATCAATTATTAAACAATTCGTAAAATGTGTATAATCATAATTTAGACAAAAGGCCACACGACAAAATGGGCTCTGTTTTTAATTGACTAATTCTACTTAAATTTCTCGTTTTACCTTCTCGAAACAAGTCGAAATAATTCCGCGATAGCGGAAATATGCGACTATCAAATTTCCGCTTAATTCTTATGCAATTGCGGCTGAGCTATTGCGGCTGAGCTATTGCTTATGTCTGTTCCTGATTGAGTCTGCTATATTTTTTGCCATCGATACACGATCGAACCGCACATTGATCTGACATTATTTGGCCATTCAGTATATACTTATGAGTAGATTGATCTGTACTACTAGTAGAGAAATAACGGAAAAAAAAACCTGACGCTTGAACAAATCATCGTCAACTATAGAAAAAATAAAATGAAATTTAAAAAGAGTCATCACCATGTTTTGTTTTACTACAATTATTGGTCATTAATCGGGGCCTATACTATTTGGCGACGAGCTAGCACCAAATAAATTGCTTGAGTTCATGACGAGAAAATAACGCGTATTCATTATCGTAAAAATGTGAAAAAATAGAAGAAAAAAAATCCATAACGCCAGGGTAAATTGTGTGTTTGTGGCGTCCGTTTCGCGAAATGAACAATTAATGATGAAATTATTTGTACAAATTAAAATGTCGACGTGTTGTGTGTATGTGTTTGTTTGCTTGTGTGTGTATGTGTTTGTTTGCTTGTGTGTGTGTGCGTGATTGAATTAGACGCATATGATATTGCTTTTTGTGTCGTCACACAGTGACATTGTATCTAGTCAAAAATTGACGTCCGGCTCCTGCTTCAAATTCATGCCGTAGCCATTTGTTACGGCCGGTTGACCGAAATTGTTCATTTGCATCTCATGATGGTGACCGTTCACAAGGCCCGGTGACATTCCATAATTGCTGCTCGGCACATTGTTGCGATACATTTCCGCATTTTCCGCACCTGTTCAAATTTATAAGGCGATAAAATTAGTAATGGCTCGATTAATACATGACTACTGTCATTGTAGATGAGCTGACAATGAAAATAAATAGAAAATTTTATTTTGTTGGAATCGCACAATTTAATTTTTACCTGTTCTACGATACGGATCTATGATATTTTGTTGCAGTGGCACTCCGATCGTATCCACCATATTTGGCATTTCGGTTAATTGGCTTTGAGACGCTTGCTGTGGAGCCTGCTGCTGCTGTTGCTGCTGTGAAGCTGATGGCGATACTTGGGCTTGTTGTTGCATCGGTGACATTGGAATATCCTGTGATAAGCCGTCCAACTGCGTTGGAGCCACTTGATTTTGATCACACATGTTATTATTAGCTGGACTAAAACTGCCAACGATGTTAGGCGGCGTCATTGGTGATGAATTATCAGCTGTAAATGATCATGAAAATGAGTATTGGATTTTCTTTCTAACCGGCGTATCAATTTCAATAAAGTAGCAAAACTCACCACCTAATAGCATTTCTTGTAGTAGGGTGTCGATGTGAGCCATTCCAAAGAATTTCGCAAATTGAATTTGTTCAATCATTTGCCAGGTAATCGATTGCAAGACCGGTAACAGCAGCAGAATTTCACCGAATCGACCTCTGAAATTGGGAGAGAGAACACATTCATTAGAGTTTGAAGCTTTCATTTCTCTTGTTTTGCTCATTTTTTTAAAAAAAAACTTTCTTTATTTTTGCCATGGAACAAAAGAATGCTTTTGAGATTCGAACCTACCTTGAGTCATATTGTCGATCTGAGACGTAATCTTCCAAGTTGTTGAGAATTTGATGGCGTAGCGCTTTGATGCGTTGTGGTTCGTTAAGGCCACGAGCTTGTGGATCGAAGAATACCAACGCCTTAATACAAGCTAATTCTGAATCGTCAATATTTACATCTTTCATGCCACGCACCAGTTCATCGATGATCCGTGCACCGATGCGTGAAATATCTAAATTGGGTGAAATTTGTGCGTCTGGACAATGTTTTGTAATGATACAATTGTTTCCCAGCAATAGAACGTCTTTCAGGTGCATCGATCGGCGTGACAAGCCCAACAGTAAGTGTTCGCCGGCATGAGCGCGCAACAATGCAACTTGATCGTCTAATTGTAGATCATTGAAAGCGGGAATGTGTTTGGCCCATTCGACCAAGATCAAAAGCTGCTGTCGCATCGATTCGCACACATCGTTGATGCTGGCGAATTGCTTATTCGCTAAATCCTCGTTTGTAGCATCATTTTCCAAAACGGAGCCGGCTTTTGATTGTCGACTTTCCATTTCGGCTTTGAGCAACGATGTAACCGCCAATCCATTGCCTGGATCTGGGTCATCGTTACTCTGACGTCGACAACTAATTCGATCACGTTCATTTTGAACAGCTACAAAGTGATAAATCATTTGTTTAAAATTACATTCACACCAACAGTTCAAGTCAGGCTTAGAATTTACCTTCTTTTTTCATTCCAGCTTTAAAACATTTCCGTAGCCTACAGTAGCGACACTGATTCCGTTTGTCTTTGTCAACCACACAGACGCGTGAAAACCTGAATATACAATATTTTCAAATGAAACACATACAAAGAGTTATATTATATTTCTGCTGCTCGTTTCGTTTATGCATACGAATGGAAAAAAGCATGACAAAAATAGTTGAAATACTGACCGGCACGTGTAGAATTGATTTTTGCGAACGCTGCGACGGAAGAATCCTTTGCAGCCGTCACATGACGATGCACCATAGTGTTTGCCCGTAGCGCGATCACCACAAATTGCACATGTTTGTAACGATTGTGCGTTGATTACAGAGTTGTTGTTATTGTTGTTGTTGTTGTTGCTGCCATTGTTCTGCAATATACCCGACGCATTGTTTTGCTCATTGGCAACTGGGATGTCGGCCTCTATACGTTGAAGAAGAAAAATAAAGCGAAAAAAATTAATTTTTCATAGATTTTCATTTTCAATCATTATTTCTAATTTTTAAGTTTATTTGTTTTTCGTTTTTTTTTTCCAAAGTCAAATTAAGATGTCTCTTCACCGGGAAGATGAAAGTAACGGATTTCTAAATGAATTGAGCGTTGCAAAATTATGCGCCATTTATTTCAGTCAATCGAATGCGATGACGATGACCGTAGGTGTACGGCTGTTTGGCTATCTATTTCCCTTGGCTCGTATCAAATCATATGCGTTCGTCTGTTCGTTTTTATTTTTGTTTTGATTTTTTTTTCTTTTGGTTGACGAATTTTTCAGTTTTCTCCTTTATTCATATTTCAGTTTTTTTCTCTTTATTTTCTATCTCTTTCTCTCTCTCTCTCTCTCTCTCTCACTCTCTCTCTCATACACACGCTCAAATCGGTGTTATTTTTAAAAATTTTGGTGTGTTTTTTTTCTTTCTGCTCATCTTCCGATCGTGTTCGTCTGAAGGAGCACCAAATCAAATCACTGTTACAACAGAGTGTTTTGGTGTCGCTTTACCATTTGATAAATATGAAACGCAAACGTTCCAACACACACACACACACATGGTTGGGAATCCCGCGTCAGCCACATAATTGTGCATGGTGGCGAAAGAAAAACAAAATACTCTCGACAAACTCAAAACACACGACTCCACCGATATTTTTTGATATCTTGCATTTTATGATTGCTTGTGGAATTTTTTTTTATCAGCACAAATCCACATTTCGAAGCACTCACGTTGGCGTACGTCACTTTTTGAAATGGTTTTGTTATTTCTTGAATCGGGGTAAATGAATAAGTGGCAATGTGGTTTTTTTTTCTCTCTTCGACATAAAATGCAGCCATTTAGTTTGTGGTACGGACTAGGTTGCTTCATTCGTCATAAATCTTGAGAGAGAGAGAGAGAGAGAACAAATTTAACCGGAATGACAATAAATGTGTAAATAAAGTCATATATTTGACGATAAGAGCACGTTCAGCTCTCTTGTGCCGATTGCGACAAACATTTCCATAGACAATAAAACTTCAGGCTGGTCTCGAAGCGAACGCGTTGACAGGTAGCATATAATAACAGTGTCTCCACTTGGAGATATCATTTCGTTATTTATAAAATGATTTTGAAGTTTCTGGAGAAGTATTATTATCGTGGTCACCCTTTTTATTTTTGCTCTTTTCACCCAATGACATGTTATCGGTTCCGCAATGCCGCGAATTTAATTATCGAATTTTAAAGGAATTTTTTTTGCAAAAATTCACAGATAATAAAAGAGATTTTACTATGCAAAAATTCTAATTTGAATTATTCATTCGTGAAATGAAATTTGGTTGCATCAGAATCAGAACAGATAAAAGTGATGGATTTAAATTTCTTAATCATCAAAATAGAATGATGAATTGGTAATTTTTCAATCAAAATAAAGCCACGTTTCATCTCATATGACTCGTATTGGGAGAAATGATGGAACACACGCTAAATTTTGAGTGATATGAAATACTTTTCAAATTCAAAATTCCAAAATAATCGCATGATTATGGAAAAAATTGCTATCGATGATTCATTGAGAGCTTAAATAGTATACCACTTCATATCACCTAGGCGACGAAAGCCAATGTAGCAGGTAACCAATTGCAGATATGAGATCATTTGCAAAAATGTGCCGAACATTTTTTCGAATGTCGGACAAAGTCTAGCATGGCTTCCGATTGAGAATTAAACAAAATCTAAGTTCTATTGTACTCTAAGGTTTCGAGTTGAATCAAATTAAAAACTTGTTGCTCTTCGAGTAGATCGTCAAGAGTATTTGTGCGTGTGTGTGAGAGAGAGAGAAAAATGTGTCGAAAACGATACGAATAACTGTTATCAATGTTGATGCGTTTTTTTTCATCAAATCAAATCAGTTTCAAGTAGTTTTTTTTCCCTTCAGTTGATATTTGTTTTTTTTCCTCGATTAGTAGTTGTGGGTCGCAACACTTTGATTATTTTGTTGGTGGAATGAAAATGGAGGAAAAAAAACGCTTCAATTAGCTAGTGAACTGAAAATATCACGTAATCTAAGGCAGGCAGTTTTCTAGACGCTTCACACACAGCAGACAAAATGATGTGCTTCAAATAAAAGTTGGCAAAAACAAAAACAATCCCATATTTGTTTTGTGCGTTTTCGTTTCAGCAACAATTGGACAATGAAAGTGTGGCATTGCGATGGGACGACAAAATGTTTATGTGTCGCAGAACAGTGCGTTGGTTTCAACTGGAGCTGTAACGAAACTATGCTCAAAAATGCCTATCGCCCCGAAAATCACGACGAGCCATTTTTTTACCCGTGTAAATAGCAAGTTCAACAATTTTGAGCACGACGTGAATGAAAAAACGATGAAACGAGAGAGAAAAAAAAAGAAAAACATGAATGGATTACAGCGATGAATTCGAGTATGCATACATGTATGACGTGGACTGACGTCAAAAGTATAAAGGTTCGGCAATTACTGTGCTCTTTTTCTTGTTAATCGAAGTAATGAGTATCACATTGTTTTTGTGTATGACTGGTACGATCGCGCGCTCGCGCCAGTGAGTAATTATGAGTCTGTTTCAATGGAAACAGTAGCCTTCTCTCGTGACTGTACGAAAAATGTTTTTCGTGCGTGTACGTATGTGTGTGTTTGTGTGTCCTCTTGCATGTTTACATTTTGTTCAGCGAAAGGCGAATTGCATCGATGGTTCTTTTCTACGCAGTAAAACGGCAGAACGTCATATAGTAAAACATGTAAGGTTAAATTGATCAGCCCGAAAATATACGAGATATTAAATTCAAATTCGGACACTTTTTCTTTTCGTCATTGCCTTTCAAGCAGCACACACAATAACTGCAAGCAAAACCAGTGTCGGATCGTGGTCGAATATAGAATTGGCCATATGTATTTTTAGAATTAAAGTCGATCGAAGAAATGAAGTGAAGCAAGAAAATGAAGAGAGAAAAAAACAGTGAAATCGGTCAAAAAAAAAAAATTCCAAGACGTGTGATTTGGCTTTGAAATCGAAAGGAAAAAAGAAAAGCAACTGAAAAAAAACAAACAAACTCAATATATTATCGGACCGAGACAATTTTTGCTTATCATACAGAAATGTCACACTTAATGTATGTTCGACCAATAAAACCGATCGTTAATCAATTTTTGCCGTGAACATTTTTATATCGAGTGGAATGTCAATCGAAAGCGAAAGTGTTTCCCAATTATTTTTTTTCTTTTATTTTTAAAACTACCGAAAATAATATCAGTGTAAAAATGTTCTCGTCACTTCTTCCGCATTACACAACCAATTTCACGACAACATTTTCCACATCACACACTGATTTGCGATTTTTTTGCCGTTCTGCCCGTCGCCCGCTTCGCTTCGATGAAAACAAAAGCAATGTTTGACGCTTAGATTCTTAGATAATATAAACTTGTCGTACGGACCAACATCAATGTGTAAATTTTGAAAGAATAGCTATCATAAGAAACGACAACGCTTCATTCGTCTAATCAGCAGCCGATTAAAAAAATATTCCCCCGAAATCAACAATAAACACACAAAAAAAAAAGAGAATTTAATATGCAAATCGAAACAGGCGCAATTAATTAAGAGCGATCGATTTTTTTTACGATAGACGTTTTGATTCTATTTCTGGCACACAACTAAATATATGAAATATTAAATAAATAATCGTAATTTTGATAACAAACTATCGAGAGAAAATCTCTTTGAAATTCAACAAACAATGTCTTTAAAAATAAACCCGAAAATATGACGTTGGTGAACGTAAATATAGTTGTTGTTTTTTCGTCGCACACACGAAGCCATTGCGATTATGTAAATGAATTCATCCAAAATGTGTTTTTGTTTTGGAAAAATCGATCGTTCATCATTGGATCGTTCACGTCAGGCAATGTATGCATTATTGATGTGCGCGTGATCGCGCACGGTGTCAGCAAATTGTGATGCGTCGTGCATGATTTACATGAATTGTTGATAAGACGGGAAATTCAATCATTTCCATTTAATTTTTTTTTTTTAAATAAAATTAACCTGCTGATTGATGTGCGATATCATCTGGGCGCGACATCTAGTTAATTCACTGCGATAAGAACGCGAAAAAAAGTTGTTTGTTGAACATGTGATTTTAATTTTTTTTCAAAAATAGATCCATTCACTTCGTGTATGACTAAAATAAAAACAATAACTTCAAGAGATACCGCCGAACAATTCTTCCTCTTCTTTCCCCGATCAGATGGAGATGCAAAGTGACCAAAATGTTGTCAAGGTTTTGTCGTAAACAAATATGCAAATGTACCTGCGGATACGTCAAACGGAGTTGAACGAAGGAAAAAAGTCGGAAATCGAAAAATATATTGGATGCCACGTGATAATGTTTGGATTTTATGGCTGTTTCACGACAATACAGAGAGCGAGGAGCTGGTCAATCATTTCAATATGTGGCAATCATTCGAAACTCACCAATCCTCTCTAGCAGCAGGTCAGATCTTATCATGACGCGCTAAGCACGATGAGAAAACGAGAAACAAAAAATTTCCGAGCTGCACAGCTAACGCTAACGCGAGCGCGCGCGCGCGCAACAGAGGAAACTGTGGTACACACTATACACAGACTTCAAAATCAAAACAAGTCCGTTTTGTTTATAAATAAAAATGTGAGGTTTTTTTTCTCATTCTTCTTAATCGTATTTATACGAAATATCGCGTGAAAGAAGCGAAAAAAAATAATTCAATAGACGAAACAACAAACAGAATTCAGAGACCACAGATATATGCTTGCCGTCCTCAACGAACACATACACACAAAAAATACTTCAAATCTTTCTACACCGAAAGTATTTTCGAGCACAGACAAGATATATAACAACCAGTTACGTAAACGAGAAGAAAAGAAATGACCAACAAGAAATAATTTCGCTTTAAGTGTGTATATCATCGTCATTTTTATGATCGAATTGATGGAAAATTCATGTTTACTTTGGCACATCCAAACAAATAAACCGTGTGGACGGTGTCGATGTTTTGACAATCCACCGTTGAGCTAAATTGATTGAGGGCACTTGTTGCCTCCGATAAAATTTGATTTGATATTGATACGCATTGATTCTTACCGAGAATGTGTAAAAAGTTGTCTTCCAAATTGAAGGGATGATGCATTGGATGCAAACCAGCGTGCCCATTTGCAACCATCATTGCCGACTGACCACTTGATTCGTAGTAATAATCGTAAGGAACGAGTTCCTTTTTCATAACGATTAGATTGCTTTTTCTTCGCTCGAAATGTCTTTTATTGCTTTAGAGAATCTTGCTTTGAAAAAATTCCGCTTCTCAAAATCACACTTGTCCGTACGCGGAAAAAATAAACGAAAAAATTTGTGTACACTTGAAAATAAACTGTTTTTTTTTGCACGTTTTATGCGTTACGTAGTCGACACATAGCCAAACGAAAAAGAAATCTCTGATTGCAATTTTTTCTGGTCTACCAGAATGGTTCTATAGAATTTGACGTGCGACAAGTAATTGTAATGCAAAATTTCACTAAACACCGTAGAGTAGTCGCGCAGCATTGGTGAACAAGATAATGCAAAAAAAAAAATGTATTTACGCGCTTTAAAATGCTGTTATCATTCGGCAGTCGGTGCAGTAGTGTTTGATTGTGGACAGACGACGGCTCGTGTTATACGATTTTGTCATTCAATCAATTTTCTTTTTCTTCAATAAATATTTTTAGCAGAATCTTAATTTATAATTAATCGCACGGAAATTTCACTTTTTTTCTTTCAATTCACAGGGTTCTCGATTTTGGAAGTGTCGAAAGGAAAAAAAAAACTTGTCACTCGATACACGATGGCGGTGACATGTTCATCGACGGAACGATAGAACATAAATAAGAAATAATAATTATCGAAAACGACGTCGAAGTCTACGTTGGCCAAGCAGGCCAGGCTAATATATATTGCGTTCGGTAAATGAGAGTAAGAGAATAAGTGTTGTTTGTGTGTGAGCGTGTGTGTTTGTGTGCGAAGCTCTGAACATTACACACATTGCTATTGTTGCTGTTTGTTGTTATTTACGAATTATCTCTCTCGCTTGCGTGCTCGCTCTCTGTCGCACTCTCTTTTCCATTGCTTTGTGTATTCTTCTTTTCATCGTCGTCGTCGTCGCTGTTGTTTTTCTTCTTTTTTTGTTTTGTTCTGTATCTTTTTTTTGCGAGTGTTTGGTTTGTCACATTCGCAACAGTGTGTGCCCGGTCGAAACGATATTTAGCCGAATCTACTTTACATTTACATTCGTTGTTTGTGTTTATATGCCTATATTTCGAGCTAGACGAGAGAGAGAGAGATCAATACCAAGGCACAAATATATGAGTTATCTGTTTATCACTACTTTAATGAATATGGATGCATATAGCGGTTTTAGCGGCTTCTTCCCTTTGTTAAAACTTGCCTGTTGACAAATCTTCGGAAATATCGAGAGAGTTTTTTTTTTGTGTCTTGGTCGTTTATTTTGCATTTCTAAATATTAAGTTTTTATTTGGAATTGTTTCAATCTCGTAGTTTTTTCTGTCTGTATTTTTTTCTCGCTTAACAAAACTAGAATGGACCAAGAATGGGAAGCGACACTGGAAATTTACACCAACATTTTCGAATGCGAAAAAATGTTTGTTTTTTTTCGTTATCCCTTATATTCGGGTTTTTATGGCATTGCAATTTTATAACTATGAGCTGTGTCTTTTGAAAACATCGCACAGAGAGAGAGAGAGAGAGAGAGAGAGAAAAATCCGCAACAAGAAGAACGGCAACGGAGCAACAAGACGGATGCATGTATTTGCCCGAGCTAATTACAGCTGTTTATGTTTCATAAGCCGTTAAATGGTAAAAACGATGTTGTTACAGCGCTAATTAAAGGTTTTCTTCTCTCCATCTCTGTCTATCTCGGTCCAGTCGGTATATGCGAGTCTCTAGATCGTTCATGCACATTACCTAAATGCCATTATGAAACTATTTGTCTTGTACCATCAGTCGATTATCATTTAGACGCTGCGAGTCAAAACCACACAGTTTCAAACAAAAATTGACGCATTTGCCATCGATGTTGAACGAAATTCATCATTTTATCGACTTTCACTCTCGTATTATCACCCCGATGATGATTATATGGACAAGAAGACAGAAGTGTTCTATTTGTCGAGATAACGGCGATGCAGACATGTACACAAAGTTATCGCAATTGATTTTAATCACAGAGCTAGCAGCAGCAACAAAATGCGTATAGCTTCCAGACGAACGGCACTGATTGTTAATCGGCTACAGTAAATACATATATATTACTCATAGAGATTGAGAGCAAAAGAGACTTGCGATTCACTCTGCTTTCGGCGCTCTGCGTTTAGCTCTCAACTCGGGAGGAATTTATCAAAAAAAAAAGGCAATGAATAATAAGGTTATCGATTCGAGAGCAGACTAGCATCCCATAAAATTGCCTCCAGACAGTGAAAAACCGAGCAAAACAACAAAATACGAATGACACTGTGCGATATATCACTAATTGAAATAAAAACATGGGAAAATAACATCTCAAGCGACAATGTTGAGTTGTGCTCGGCATGAAAATGCCAATATTTCCCATTATTGAGTTGATAATCTAGACTGTCGGTATTTTGCCTCCGAATAACACACGAATCGAAAATATTTATATGACAGTTTTTTGTTCGCAATAATTTGCGATAATTTTCGAAGAAACTACAGAGAGAAAAAGTTATGACAACTAATTAAGATGAGAGGCTTGAAATGATCGTTATTTGAAATGAATCGCGATCGAATAGTCATTTGTACAGTTTCTTCGTTTGAGAATGCAGTCGTTTTGTTCGTCTTTGCTTTGGCACGGTGAGAGCGAAACGGTCGATTTGATACGCGTTTTTCGACGCTGATTTTCGAATGCAAATTACATCACGAACAGATTATATGTATGTGGACTAATGGTGTGTGATTGCACATGCCTGGCCAGCTAGAGTGCAGCGCAGTGCATAGCAACTCGGTGTTTATAATTATGGAAGCATCAAAATTGATAACGAGATTTGAAATAGGCAACGTTTGAAACGCTTGTGCGACACTGCATTTCATGCAGGCATTTCTATTTTCAATACATGTAGTTGGTGATGATTTTTTTTTTCATTCAGTTTGGCTCTGAAAGTGGCTGATTAAGCGAGCGTATGTTTCGCTAATGCACGCTATTGGACACGTACTACATCACTCACTGCGCGGTCGACTCACTCAAGGTTTTTTTTTCATCGCTCCTTCGATAGTAATTATTTTACAATTTATTTTATACGAGGAACACAAAGAACAACAACAAAAAAAACAACAACAACCAAATGTAAACATACAGTCAGTGCGGTGACCGATTGTACTTGCAATCTTTAACTTAAAATCGAAGAAAAAAAAGAACAGAATCAAAACAATTTTTTCCGCAAATAGTGAGAAACAATGAAACGGCCAGAGAGAATGCCAAATAGCCTCTAGGCATTTATGATTGACCAAATGATTTTTTGTTGCTGTGATCGATCAAAATGAACGGAATGTTTTCGAGTCCTCTAAGTAAAATGCCATTATATGCAAACCTCCACCGTTGCCGAGATATATGGTGAATGTGCTGAGATAATATGCGCTTTGTTCTTGAAATTCTTGATCGTTTTGCACTCTTTTTTTTATGCAGAGCAAACACATACATTTTTTTTTCATCTCGAAAATGGTGCATTTTTTATGCAAATTTTCAAAAAGAAACTAAACAATCGATTTCGTTCAAGAGATCTCCTACTAATCCGGATTAAGATCCGGGCAATAAAGTAATTTACCAAATGAAGAGACAAAATGTTTGTTTAGGATACTCTCTTTTTTGTTTCGATTTAATTTTTTCGTTGGTGCTTGACTCTCTTTATTCGCATTTTCTGGGTGTTCCCCGAAACACACAGAGGCTTATATGTTTTGCAAACAGAATGAAGCGTATCTACTTGAACGAGATAGGCTTTACTCGTAGCATCCCGTTCTGGTGATTACATTCGTTGACATTATTCGCAACATTCTCGGGGCTCAGACACAAGAGAAAAAAAAACAACGTACAATAACAAAAATAAAAACAACAGAAGCAGCACACAAACGATCAACTGGAAGTGACAAATATGTAGTTCCATGTTGTTCCAGTCACTGCCGGCAACTCTATTTATGGATATGCTTTTATCTAAGTATATGGTTTTTTTTTCTCGCTGCTTTTGTCAAATGTGTTTCAATGTTTGCTCTACTCCGAATGCTGTTATCAGCAGAAGAATACGATGAAAACGAAATCAAGACTTTTAGCATGACTAATTGTACCATTGAAAAGATAAAATCCCATTTTCACGGCCACAATTGGTTTCGATTTAGATGAAAGTGTGTTTTGAACATCATTTCCATTTGCAGCGAGTGTGTTTCTGAAAAGGTGTCACCACCCATAACCAACTGATAATAATGAGTAACAAACGAGAAAAAAAGAAAGAAATAAAAACATAAACTTTGTATGCTGGATACAAAACAAAGAAAGTGTATTGCATATCATATATGCAATGCACACAAAAAAAAACCGATGGCATTAGTCATCGTTTGCAACGAACTCGACTTGGTTCAGCAAAACAATGACTCGCAAAAATCGCTCAACTCAATTCAGACCTTCTCAATGATATCAGTTTAAGTACTTTTTATTACACACTATCTGAATATATGCTTTTTTTTCTCTCATCTCATCGGCTATCAGAGTACAAACTTTTTTTCGTTTCACTTTCGAAGTGGAGAAACTCATGCGCACTTTGGAAATCGGGCGACAAATAAAGAAAGAAGAGAGAGAGAAAAATTGGTTTAGTAAGGGTAAATGCACGCGATAAGATTATTGCACATTTTTTGCAATTTGTTACGGTCTCACTGAATGTGTTACATGCCAATGGATAAAAACTATATGATAAGGATCAATGAACGAACGTGATCGTCGAGCTGAGCTGAAGATTTAGACGAATGGGAGAGATAATAATTAAGAAATGAAACGTACCGGCAACCTGAGGCTTTTCTTCGATAAGACTGTCTGACGGTGATGACGATGAATCCATTTTGTCTGCTTGTATCTCCTTAACGATATGATTTTCGATGATTGTCCGCAACTATTCCCAGACGACGACGGCGATGATGACGATGGTAGCGGTGGTGGTGGCAACCAACAAAGCTTCCTTTGTAAACTCTTCACTTGATTATTCAACGAAAATGGCAAGAAATGTTCATTGGAAATTTGACTATCGATTGGTGTTTTCATTGCGGTCGTGCACATCACAGTCGGCTCTATGTCACGATCGCTTCAATTGCAAATGTTACACACTGAAAATAGAGAAGGAAACCATTTTTGAAATGAGAAGTAAACGACCATTTTTCTTAAGTAAAAAATCTATGTATTTATCATAAAACATACGATGCGATATCATTAATAAGAGCGAACTTTTTTTCTTGCTGTTGGACAGAAAAAACCACATCCGATTTTTTCAAAATTGAAATGATTAATTGGCTGACTAATTTGTGCATTACGCGGAAATATGGACGATTGCTGACAAACGACACAGCACAATTGTTCATGTATATATGTATATATCGTATCTGAAATTTAATCCGCACAACAATTTATTTTGCGTTTTTAAAAAACAACTCTGGCTAATTCAGAGCCTCAATAAGAGTGCATTACTAATTATGTTTATTTCTTTTGTCGCCGGTTTGTCATATTTAACTTGTGAATATCTCTTTGTGCAAGCACAATTAAGAGTCATTTTTGTTAGAAATTCACAAAAAAAAAAACAGGATAAAACATGACGATGTTTTCGGGGCGATAAATTATTTATCGCCACCGAATAAACAAGTCATTTTATGGAATCAACATGAACGAGTGAAGAAAAAAACAACTATAACATACGAACCGTTATCATTCGATAGTGAGAGAGAGAGAGTGTTGTAAATATGTCACTTTATTTTTATAAGAAAATGCAAACAATCTCTTTGTTGCGAATATCTTTATCAGACCTTCGGTGTATTGCAATTTCCGCGAAATTTTCTTTGTTCCAAATGATATCGAAGTACAGCGCGCGAACAATGCAATCGAACAATGAGTGGGGCAATTGATGCAAGTCCAGCGAGGATTTCGCAAGACCAGAAAAATTGAGACGTCCGAAAAATTTGCGAACATTTAAAGTTCACGGTCAAAGAAATCGATTAATGGAGGAGTTTGTGTGTCGTACCGGTTTTTAATCAGGCGATCGATAAACGGGAAGAAACAAATCGAAATCGAATTTAAATCGAATGGACAAAAATGATGTTGAAAGGAAAAAAACCATGATAAAAACCGGCCCCTTTTTTATTACACACAAACACATCGTATATTTATAGTACAGGACACCCCAAAACTGTTGCTAAAAATACATTCTTTATTATTCATCTTCATGTGATTTATTTTTAACGTCGGTACCGAAGAATCTAGCATGTAAATGCGTGAATTGCGTACGTCATTGTATAATTAGCATAAGATCAAGATTGAGTTTTTGATTATGCAGATAGATCTCTGTGTGGAATCAGTCAACGATCTGCGTATACGATCATCATTAATTCCGGTAAAACTTATTTATTTCGGTGATATTTTTCGAATTCTGAAAATATTACCATGTACGAATGACCATAATTTAAATGAAGGCATTGACGTAAACGTACAACATAAAAAAAAAACTCACATCAACAGTGTGAGCAAGTGGAAAGAGAAGTCATTTATTTTTAAATATAGGAAAAAAAAATAAATAGAATTCCATATTTTGTATTTCATTCATGGAAATTTGCATTGAAATAAGTTTTTTTTTTTTACGACGATTCATCTAACAACCGAATGAGTTTTAACGGTTTAATCGTACTATGTGTGCGCGCGTACGGATTTACGTTGATTTCCTCTAGCACACACATCACCGTATAGCGAATCAATAACATTGTCATTGTTTATCTCCTGATTTACTGACTAAATGTAATTATTATAAGCATGACTAATGACTAACTAATTAGCCGCGGCGTTGATGTCTTCGCTCACTTTTCTCATCGCCGTGATTGAAGGCGAAACACTCTATTATATGACTGATCTCTTGATTGCAATACATAAAAAATTACAAAATTGAATAAACAGTGGCCAATCATAAAAAACAAGCGGTAATGATGCCACTTTGTGAATGCTAGAAATTAAGCTACAAGTCACACAGCGTCATATTCAAATGCAATTTTATATTGTTATTCAAGTGATTTCGTAAGAAGAACTTGTTTTTAATACAATACATAAATCCCAATGAGTAAAACGACATTATGATTGAAATTGGTGGCATTTTCGATGCATCGCCGTTAACCACGCTACTAGAGTCGAACTAACTTGACATGGTGTGGTGAATTGAAGAAAATATTGTTAAAACACAGAATTTATGGAGATTTTACACAAAAAAATGAGTATATACAAAAACGTCAACAGCTTAACGAATGAACAGATGAAGAGTTCATGTTAAATCTCTGCAGAACACCATTTTTGAGTTGAAAAATGAAAATGTTACGCTCAACAAACATATGAACACATTGGCTGGCCAACTAAAAAGAAACATCTCTTTGAAATTGGCAAGTTTGGCGGTTGAATTCGACTCACGTCCGATGAATTCCATACAAAGTGATTGCGAGCCGCTTTTGAAATTGATGTTCCACATAAAAGTGGAATGCCTCTGCGCGGCGTGTATGATCGCCGAGGAGATCTAGTTCTGCAATTGAAATAGCAACAACAACAAAAAAAACTCTGCCAACTATTTCGAATATATCTCAAATTACGGTAGCCAATATGCTCGGGCAGTAATTAGGTTTAATTGTTTTTTATCTCGCTTAGTAAAATGTAGCCATTGCTGGTTTTTTTGTTTGTTTGAATCATTGAAAAACGATTAAAATCAAATAAAATCACATTCCAAATTAGAATTAACCACATTCTGATATGTGTGATTTTTTTTCCCAATTCAAATTGCAAGCGGCTCGTGTCGAATTAGATGAAAAATGCGTTGTTCAAATTCAATCGAATTGACAGGGGCAAGTTTTGTATATCACTTACGGCAGGCACGTTGTGTGTGTTCTACAAACGGAAAATCCGAACAATTTTTTGCTATTCAAATACAATACGCAAAATTGAACGAGCTAAAAAAGGGCAGTGCAACATGGGGTGTTTACTCTTTTTGTTAATGCTGATTTCTGAAACAATTAGCATCCGTATTTGTTTTGTTGTTTGTCGCACTTTTCGCAGCGATTAAACGACAAAAAAAAGAACTGCTTACAATAAAATCATGTGTGTGTGTGTGTGCCGTGCCTGCATTCCGATGGCAAATACTTTTTTTTCTGGAAAAAAATTCAAAGCATTCAAATCGCATGTCATTTTCCTCAATTTGCCTGCAATTTTAGCGAATTAGAAAAACTTCTTTTTGTCAGACGTACAACAAAGGCAGTAGCAGTGCACATCAAACTGGCGACGATTGGCAATGAATAAATGCATATAAATTGGAAAAGTCGGTGCCTTACATAGGTAACGAAACGAGTATGCAAAAATTCGTGCATTTTCGTTGTACGCGCACACATTGGATGATTGTACGGATTTGTGTTGAAAATTTTATGCTGAAAATTGCATATTTTTCATATCGTACTTATTATGCATTGGCTAATGTGTGTTTGTGTGTATATGCATTTGAGTGTGATTTGCGTTCGATTTGCGCGATACACGATTCATTTTTGGCAGTGCTAAAACGGCAAAAAAGGAAATGATTCGTGTTTTTTTTTCTGTGCTTGTGTATCCAGTTTTCACAGCAAACAACAGAACAAAAAACACACACACGATAAATATATCATTTATTTAAATGGTGATTTGCAATGCGAAACCAGTTGTGGAGATTCGTTTTCGCCATAATATTGTTGAGCAAAAAAAAAAACGTTTGTCGTTCGCTAGCTACTAAATAAAAATGTCATCAGAAAATCATTCCAAATATAAGCAAATCCGTCAAAATCGAAATGAAGCGAGAAAAAAAACAACCACTTGGAATTAAATTGATTTCGGTGTGTGCGGTATAACATTTTTCGTTTGCTTAATTTGATTTGTTAATCTTATCCACTTGTTATCGCGATCAGCCCGAATATTTGCAATGAAAGTGACCAGTCGTGCGATCGATCGCGCGATGTTGCTTCATTCAAATTCAAAATATTCTTTTATCTTAAACGAACAAAAATGAAGAGAGATTAGCTCTGAAATTATCTTATTTAGAGTCGCACGAAAACGAGCATCCGAGTCAAGTGGATGCTGCAGCGATTAAGCGCAACAAAATAATTAACTTGGCTATATTTTACATCTTTTTCTTCGTTTGCTGGAAGAGAGAGAAACGTGAATGAAACATTACATACGCAATCAAATATGATCTTGACAAAAATATATACGAAAAACCCGCCCTGCCGATTGGCTAAATGATTTCTCAAAAAGTGTATTTTTAACAACACGAAATACTGTCGCGCATACGCGCTCAAATCACTATCTCTCTCTCTCTCTGTTTTTCGTCGTGTTGTTTGTTTGTTTTTTTCGCTGTCGTCTCCTTCTTCTTCTTCTTCGTTTAAATTCTTGATTGTGCAAATCGTCCACACCAACATAAATATTTTATTTAAAAATTTGAATCGTATTCAATCACACACAAAGAGAGACACAAAGACCGATAAACGATGTCGCACGACCAGGCGACGCAAAGTATTGACGATATCCGCTTCAAGCACACCCATAGGCTCTTTTTTTTTTGGCAACAAGACACAACGACCGAAAGCCAAACAAAAC